GACTTGTTGCAGACTGCATGCTAGCTTCTCCTGTGTTACATCCAAGTGACTGCTCTCTGGTTTCAAAATGGATACAGTGACAGAAAAAAAAACATCCCAGTTTTATTCATGTTATTAGATGAACACAACACCACAGAGGTCAAGGATGCTCAAAGATGCTGCAGTTTTCTTCCTCTCCTCCTCTAAGCTCCACAGAAAACGGTCACCAAGCTGCAGCTCTTCTGTCTTCCTTGTTTAAACCGCAGACACTGGTGTGTGTGTTAGTCAGCTCTCAGCTCACCAGGATCTTCTCATGCAGACGGGGAGGCTGGTGTGAACAATGCTCTGCAGACGCTCTGTCCCACTGAAAGTTGTGGATTTGCTGCGTGGACTTGTTTTGTTTCACACAGCACCATGCGAATGAACAACTCCTTGTCTTTTAAATATATTTTAATGAGATTTTATCACCTCTGTGTCCCCCAAAAACATTTAACTAAAGAAATCCTGCACCAGACTTTTGAAATATTAGTATCTGGATATGTTTTTTCGCTGCCCTGTGCAGATTTGTTGCAAACTGTTTAGTCTGTCTGTGTATCTTTTCTTTTCTTCCACACCAGCCTCATCAAAGTGATGAAAACTCTTGCAGACTAAACATTTCTCCCCTCCTTTACTTACTCCTCCTTCCATCATGTCCTGTGTCCCTCCACCCCCTGCTGGTGCCTCTGTCTAACCCAACGAGGCCCCCTACAGGTGCAAGCTCACTGATGCTGAACTGAGCAGGTGCATAAAGATGGTAGCCTTTTATTTTGTCATTTGAACCCATTTTGCAGTGCTTTGCATACTCCCGCATGAGGAAATGATGGTGCTCGGGGCACTTTGCAGCCTTGGAAGTAAAGTCTGGGTAACATGCAGGACGTGATGGACATATTAAATATTGCAAGTGAGCAGATTGTGTGATTATTTTTGTTTTTAAATCCACGTAGATCTTCTGTTTTAGTTTGCTCCAGGAGGATATTTGCTGCCATTTTTTTTGTTAAATATTAACAAAAGAAACACCTCTGATCAGCTTCAGTAGAAATGATAAAGATTCACTTTTTCATATTGCTGAGGACATTTGACTCAGAGTCTTCTTTGTTGTGAAGAACACTGATTGAGCTGAGACTTTCCTTGGAAAACCTCACTTCAGCTCCATTGTTCACTTTCACTGAAGTGAATTAATCTGCACCATATTTGTCCCCCTATCCTATTGCGCCACACCGTGGATATACCCAGCCTCTCTCTGTCTCTCTCTAAGTCTGTCTGTCTTTCTCCCTCTGTGTCTGTCTCTAAGTTTGAAATGGAAGCTGTGCTAATTGCCTGTCGACTGTTTATGCTGAGTCTACTTTGTTTTGAAGAGCGATATGATTATGCTCTTAAGATCCATAACAATGTCATAAACCGCAATCATGCACTTAAAAAGACAGTTTGCTGAGATGTCTGTTCATTATAAAAAAGGAGGGGAAATAGGAAAAAAAACACGTTAATTTCAGCAGTTGTGGTGTAATTTTGTTGCAGTGATTTGCAGTGCTGGAATTAGCTGAAGTTGGACTGTGAGACATTTGCAGGTAAACGCTGCATGACGCCAACTACAGACCTCTGCTTCCATCTTGTGGCAGCTCAGCGCAACACCTTCTCTTCCTCCTCCTCTGCCTCCTCCTCCTCCCCTCCATCACTCCCCTTTCTCTTTAATATCGGCACTGTGGCGAATCTAATCTGGATCTCCTTTAAGGCAATAAAACCCAGATAGCTTCCTTTAAATGAAAAGCACCGCTTATTATAGCTTTGAAATCCTCGTTTATTTGGCGATGTGCGCGTGATAGAGGAAAAAATCATTCATGTCGAGGTTCAAATGGGCAGGATGACGAAGATCCATGGTGTCCCAAGTGCATATTTCCTCAAGTATTGTATTCCAAGGTATATAATAGTGTTATCCACGCAGGTTGAACTATGCTGCGCGCCGAGATGCTTGTTTTAACGTCGCCTGCTTTATCCCTCCGAGCAGCCAAAAGCAATTTCCGATAAATCTGACCCTGTTGCTGAGCTGGTGGAGGGATGGTGTAATTTTCTGGTGCGTTAATGACAAAACACGGGTGCGAGTCGAATGGTATTCACCGTAAAAAGTTTATCACAAAGGCTTTTACGCGTGTGATATTTTTTAGCTTCGGTTTGGGGGCAAACACAACAAAGCGTGACTGGATGCGCATATCAATTGTTTGGGTTGAGCTTAAAAATGTGTTTAAAACTGCAATAAATTTGGTGACAAACAAACTCAATATGCATGAGATTTGGAGGTGGTGGAGTGGGGCTCCTGAAAATATAATTTATAATAAAATAAAAAATCTAGAAAATAAACACACATTAAAATATGATTTTTAAAAACACAAGAGCCATTTTCATAACTTAATTTGCAGTCTTTCCAGCGGCAGTAGTTCTTGGCGCATTAGTCCACGACACCTGCCAACATCCCCAGTTTTTGTTCCCATGGAAAAACATCTGCATCCCACAGCATCACTTCCACACCATCGGATTCACAATAAAATTAGAATGCAAATGGCAGCTTCAACATTTACCTCTTAGATTAATCAATCTCACTATTTGCATATTTCTGTAATTGCTACCAGCACGAGCAACGCCTTGGTATATAAGTTACAGTAAAAAAAAAAAAAAATCCAGGGTGTGAAATCCAAATCTTTAATTGGAGCAGAATGTCACCAAGCAGCTCAGTTTTACACCTGATGCGGAAATCCAGATTCCGGACTCTAATGGGGGCAAACCGTGTCAAATATTTTTCCATGAGCCTCTTTTAGAAACAGGCCTACGCATACCAGCAGCAAAGCAAATAAGGAAGAACACTGTCTGCTATTAAAAATAGTTTTTGCGCCTCGACGAGCGACTTTTTTTTTTTTGAGGACAGACAATAATCAGCCTTTCACTGTGGAGAACGGGGGAGAGAGGGAAAGGAGAAATGAGAAGGCTGTTGTTGGCACAGCTCTATCAAGGAAGAAGGACTCCCTGTTATCTGTGAATGGGGCTTCTTTTTTTGACCAGAATAGATATAGCACGAATTTTTAATTCGTTTTTCTTTGAGAGACAACAATGCTTTATTTGAAAGCTTGATACAATTTGGGGCTTGTGAGAGATCCTTTTCTCCTTGTCCGAGCCCAGCTGCCCATATGGGATACAACGTGTGTAGCAAAGATCACAATGGCACCAAGTGACAGGCGGGACAAAAAGCCCAAGGATACATCTCCCTGACTCTGAACAGCACCAAGAAACTCTGTCAGTCTCTCTATCTACACTGTCTGCAGCCCCACTCCTGCTGCTAGTTAACATGCACGCCTCTAACATCCAGTAAAAACCAGGCCTGGGCTTTTGTCTGTGTGTTGTGTTGTGGTGTGTACTGTATTATGCAATGATGGAGTCACAAAACTGCCTCATCACAGAGGCGAAATCTGAGGGCAAGGAGCCAAACAAGGTCTACGTTTTTCTTTTACTGCTGAGGTTTTAAATATTGGTCTTAAGACGAGTCTAGTTTGTGAAGTTTTATTCTAAAGAAGCCAAAATATCAGATGGAGTTCACTTAAATCCAACGACAGCAATTTATTCTGCAAATCACTTTATAATATCACATTTCTCCTCACACCTCTAAGCGATTATTGGCACGCCATACGCAACGCTGCGTGTTCCTTCTTTCCCCACAAATGCATCAAAAACGAAAACTATAAACAAACTGCTGATTTATTTGACCTACAAGCTCAACCAGTGGTGAAACACAAAACCTTTCTGTCTGGGACAAATTGAGTCTGTGTCGCCCCACAAAAGCAGTAGCCCCCTTGAGACTCAATTCTGTAAATAATTAGCAAATCTGCCCAATTTGGCTGTTTGTTCAGTGATGATAGGGGCGACTCTAACATCTGTTGTGGGATTTTTGTCCCGGGACAAACACGACGCATAGATTTTTCTACTAGGTTATCATATTTACCCAAGATATTGACTGGAGTCTGATAATCCGCAGTGCGCTACGGATCACTGGGGGAGCCATTTGTGCTTGTTTTGGTTCCACCTTATAGAAGATGGTGACTAATGTGGCAAAGTGTGCTTTAATGCGGAATATCAGGTTATGTGATCAAATGAAAAATAACTTTATTAGGCGGTTAAAGCCCCTTAAAGCCGTGCGTATTTTTAGTTGACCGTTGGCCGTGGTTAAACAAAGAAGGCTGGTGACTCATTGATTATTCCTGCTCTATTTGCAGTTTAGCGCTTAACAAGATAACAAAACATTTATTGCATTAAACGATTTTTCCCCCCACAGCCTACCACTTTGCACCCAAGGTGGGGAGTGGCTGGGGACGCTGACAAAAAGGAGAGCTTTTGACTCAAAAGCTTCTTATGTGAAGAAGCCCTCTTATATTAAGTGAGTGGATTTTAGTCCCATTTCACAAGTGACTTTAGGCTCTTTATTTGGTGAGGTGTTGGGATTGAGAAAAAATATTCTCCGGATTAAATTTGCCCTAAAAAAGAAAGGAGTGAAGTGCGCTGGAGATTTATTCCCAGAGTCAAGCTCCATTCTGTGCCACAATATAGTGTTTAGCTCCTCGTCTTTCACTGTGGTGTTTAGCGGTGTCTTTTCAGAGAGGACCAAATCGATTAGGACACTTATATAAACCAAAAACCTCCATTTCAAAACACAGCATTTTATTTTAAAATCCTTATAAAAAATTTTGGGATATTTAGCCATCACCGCGCGGCCACACGCTTATTTACATATGTGATCTGACACGGCAGCCATAACGTTTTGCCAAAAAATAAAAAAAATAAAAAAAGAAAGGAAAGCAAGAATTAAAAAAAACTCCCCCATTGTTTTTTTTTAAATGTGTAAATAGCCTATGTAGAGGCCGATCTTCAGCTTTACGCACCCGAAAGCTCTCTAAAACATTTGCCACAAATTATTTACAGGAAATAAAAACAAAAGGGAAAATAGCTGCAAAGTTGCCAGTGTTTATTCATGGCCATAAATATTTTTTTCGGTCCATAAAAGAAGCAAGAAATTAAAATTTCTATAATTATAAAGTGGTTTGCACGTGCTGATAATAACACGAAGGGACAAAAGAAAAAAAAATAAAGAGGAAAACATCTCTACAACCAACACACAACATACTTTACAAAAAAATTTTCACAAGAAGAGCATTGACATTCTTAATAAAATCTATAAGGGAGAGGTTCGGACCCAGTTCTCTTAACGAAAACATGTAAACACGGCGCACACATGAGCCCCGAATAAAAATGGTAGTATATATATGAGTCAAGCTGCAAAAATGAAAAGTCTTTTGTTTTTTGTGTTTTATTTTTTTTTTCTTTGCTTTGTGGTGAAACTCCCTATCGTGCCTCCAAGCCAAGTCTCTATAATTTCTCTCACCAAGTCCACTGTTGCGTTTGCACCAAGTGATGTGCTGTGGGGAACTGTGGCGTGGCCGCGGCGCTGTACTGCGCGTTATACTGCATGTGTTGGAGTGACTGGGCACTATAAGCCGAGAAGGGGATCCCGGCCTGAAAAGTGGCCGCCAAGTCCTGAGCTTTAAGAGTGTGACAAGGCTTTCCATCCCTGACTAAGACGGGCACGGCCACCCGCCTGGGAGAAGGGAGATGGGTCACTTCCATACCTTTCTCGGCCCGGGCTCTCTTCATCTTATACCGGTGGTTCTGGAACCAGATCTTCACTTGGGTCGGGGTGAGGCGGATCAGGCTGGCCAGGTGCTCCCTCTCCGGGGCTGACAGGTACCTCTGCTGCCTGAAGCGGCGCTCCAGCTCGTAGGTCTGCGCCTTGGAAAACAACACCCTCCTTTTCCGTTTCTTGCCGGAGTCGCTGCCGCCGCTGCTGGAAGTTTCCTTGTCGTTGTCCGGCGATTCGTCGTCCGCGGACGGCTCCGGGGACTTGGCCGAGTCCTGAGAGCTGGCGGATAGACCGTGCACTGCGGCAAGAAACGGGAGAAAGACTGTCAAAATGTTATGTTGTAAAGTTCCAAGAGACATTTAATCACAAGCACAAGGCATGTAATCATCAATCAAAACTTTGGGTGCATTGGTAATTAATTGTGCTGCTGCGTAATAAGAAAAAATAACCTGTTAATGATGGAGCACTTGTCAAAACAAGATTACGCAGACATTTTTAAGACATAAACATGGCTGAATAATAAAACACCGGGACATTGTTTGGCTATTTTGAACTCTTTGGTGCAATTTTAAAGTGGAAAGCACCAAAAATTATTCCTCAGCCCAAATCTCCACAAGCAGAGCGAGTCAGTGAAGCATTAAAAGGTGCATTGTCTGCCTGTAAATCCCCACAGAATGCAGTCTTATAATTCACACCATGCCCATACTCTGAATAACTCACAGCCTCCTTGTTTTTTTCTCTCTCCTGGTGCTTTATCGATCAAAATCTTACAATGCAAAGTGCGTTGAGCCTAAACAATGCATGCATTTGTTGAGCTGTAAACGCCTCAAGACGAGCGCAGCAGTGCACGGTGCATAAAGATGAATGCTGCACGCCACCCAAGGGCATCGTTAGGGTGGAATAGGATGCTGCATGCCATCAATTATGGCTTAATGTAACCGCATAGCTTGAAAAATGCCACAGAAGTCATTATCAGCAAGATCAGGAAGGATTCTTAGACTCTACTTACATGAATATTGAATACTGTCCGTAGTAGCAAGCCATCGTGTGTAAGGATTGTCACTACTGTCATAAAAGGGGTTCTTTAAAGGCAGATTTTGAACGTTTTCCAGAGGACTTTGCACCAAAACTCCAGTGTTTTTTGTCGTGGACGTGGTCTCCGATCCCTCCGTGTCTTCCTCCGCTCCGGTGATAGATCCTTCTTCGTCATTTGTGTCAGGAAGGTCCAAAATGTCCTTTACAGAAAAGCCCGTCTTTGTGTTGGTCAACGACATATTCTGGTGGGGGGGGAATATGCAGGGAAAAGTTGCTGCACCAGCTTTTCGGACAATCCGCTGTTTAGAAAGAAGAAGAAGAAGAAAAAAAAAGCAGAGGCGATGTTTCAGGAAAAAAATAGGATGAGTAAGAGTCGCTCTACGCTGAAGTACAGTCAAAGCAGCCACTGTGGATAACCATTGCCTAAGCAAGTAGCTGTGGATTCAGTGTCTGTAAGTCCAGGAAGAATGCCAAAGTGGCTGAAGTGCTATATGTGGCTCAT